CCGGCCCGGCGGGGGGAGGCTCCCGCGGCCCCGCCACGGCGAAGGAAGCAGCCGCGTGGCCCCTGACGTGAGTAAGCGCCGGGCGCGGGGGAGCACGTGGGTGCGGCGAGGTCGTTGGGGGCAGCCCCCCGCCCCGCCGCTGGGGCTGGCTGTCCCGGCTCTTTGTCGAGGCAACAAAGAGCTGCCCCTTCGCAGCCAGCTGCGAGGCCAGCCCCCTCGTGGCTCACCCCCTCTCGGGGAAAGACCCCTGTCCCGAGCCGGACCGGAGCCAGTGCTGGCTCTTCCATGGGTTGCCAGAGGTGGCCTGGGCTGGGGGGCTTCTGAAATCCTTTGAGGTCAAACTGGCTCCAGATGGGTAGTGCTTTTTTGCCTAGGAGCGTGTGGGCAATGGGAAAGCCTGGCCCCCCCGGTGCTTTCTGCCTAGGAGTGTGGGCAGTGCTCCTGTGCCGCCCCGATGTGGGGAGTTGAGTGTTGCCTTCATAACTTTCCTTGTTTCTGGGAGGACTGAGGAATGTGAACTCAAATCATTGCCCCCTTCCCTGCTGATCTGAGCATCCGTCGGGATAAGTGGCATCTTGCCATGCTTAATTTATGCATCTTCAGAAAAAGCAGCGTGGGTTAGTTCAGTCTGACAGTAACATTTCTCAAGCAGGTGCTGCGGCACCTTGGGGCTCCTGGAGATCTTTTCCAGGGTGCCACGTGGTGCTAGCATGGCGAGGCGTGCACTTGTGATGCAAGTGATGGCTTCAGAGATTTCAAACAGTCATTCGGAGTGTTAAAAATGCTCTGCCCCATTCAGGCTTTCTGGGTTCTCAGCTTTAGTCTTTTTCTGTTGCCAGAAAACCAAGGGAAAGCTAAGAGCTGGCATTTTCTGAGAGGGGCTTCGAGTCTTACTGAGAGGCGCCTCAAGTGTTTAAAAAGGTTGAGGACGACTGCTGTAGCATCCTTGGCCAGCAGCTGCTGGTGGGTTACAGCAGTCGGGCGTTATCCCACCACACAGGCTCTGAATAATTTAAAATCTTTGCAGGCTGAGTTTTACATTCGAGAGTTTGGTTTGTCTACGCTGGGCGTGTTGTAAGGTTGTGGACAAATTAAGTGCGGTTCTAGCGCTTTTATTTGCATGGTACTTCAGAAGTATTGGCACTGATATAGTACCGGAGTTCATATAGTTTTCGTTATGAGTGTTTTTTCTATACCTGTTTTTGTTAGGAACAGAAATCTAGAAAAGTATGATAGCAAACTCTAGCTAGGTAATTTCCCCTTGCTTGATATTTTCAAATGAATGGCATAAAAGGTAAAGAGTTGACACACTTTCATCTAAATTCTGGTATCAGCTAGCAATGTTTTAATTGAAAGACCTTGTTCTGTGTCTCCTGCCCATATGTTTACTGTATACATTTGGCAGCAGATAGAGTCTGTTTCCCAAATTTGTTTATAGCCTTTTTTTCACTGGGAAGGAGTTAGAATCTAAATCCCATTGATTCTTTTTTCTCCTTGGGTTCTTCCGTTTGCTTTCAGACTCTTATGATTTAAAGGGCAATAACGTATGCAGTGACAACCAGAGTACACGTGTTGATTGCATGCCAAGATTGTAGAACCAGACTTTGAAATAGATCATATAACCTCCAAAATGGTTAGGCAGGAAGAAGTAGAAAAGGTATCTGAAACTTTAAAAATCCTTTCAAGTCAATCAGCTGTGAGCACTGAGGAACTTGAACTCACCTCACCACCCCAATTCCCTGCCATTCCTGGCATCCATAGGGATAGGTAGCAACTTGCCACATTTAATTTATACATGTTCAGAAAAAGCAGTGTGGGGTATTTCAGTCTGATTGTAATATTTCACCGTTCTCTTAACACAGTAGCTTTTTGTCACATCTTGACTCCAAATTAAACGCATTTTTCCCCATCCGTTGCTGCTCCCCTTCCATTTTGCAACAGCCACTGTTCTTTGTATAATAAAAAAGTTATGTTCCTACTTTTTGGAGCCATTTTTACAGTATTGTAGGTGTTCGGTATAGATTACCTTGTGAAAACAATTCATATTTGCTGTTTAAAATGGAATAATGATATTTTTAAAAAATATTTGCACTACCCTCTTTGATGTTTTCAGTGTGACCAGCAATTCTCATCTTATTCATTATTACATTGTTGTTGGGTAGAAACCCAAACTGAGAGAAAAATACTTAAACATCTTATAAAAAAAATTGAGCTCCGTTCATGGGAGCTATTACAAACAATTTCCTTCCTCCCAAAACTGAAAATAACTTGCATTTCTTCTTGGGTAGTCAAATTTTACATTACCCATGACAGATAGTAACTGCTTCTTTTTTTGGATAGCTTTTACATGTTCATTCGTCTAAGTAGAATGTCAGAAAATGTAGAGTACAGGAGGCCTCCTTTTGGGCCTACCATCCTCTCTACACAGAGGGGCACTGTTGCCAGTCTGGCTTTATAAAAGAAACTTGAAATAACACATGACTTGTCTGAAGTATCTGGACTGTAATTAGTCTGATACTTGAGCTTGTTGACTCTTGCTCTTAAGCCCATGCAACTCTGAACTGATTTTGCATATATAACATTAGCATACCTGATATCAAAACCAAATCCTTAAATATGTAACATTTTTTTTCATATATCTCTATGTACCAATATTTTAATAGAGTGAAGTGTTTCTGTTGGGAGTGAATTAGTGGTCACAAAACATAACAAATGTTACGTTTTAATAAATCTGTAAATAAATGTTACATGGTAGTAACTTTTTTCTTAAGGAACTCATGGAAGGGGTAGATTGACCTGAACTGGAATCTCCTGTTCATTCACAAACCAATACATTATAGGCAGTGACAGTGGAAACCTCTACATTATACTTTGCCTGAATGCTGGTATTTCAAAAATGAAAAGGTGGTTGAGCCTCCATACTTACTCAGTTCTAGGTGTCTCTGACACTGTCACCTAGAAAATAGGTGTTTGTTTGTTCACTAGGAAGTGGAATAAAGCCACTAAATGTTCATAGTATGTAGCTAGTGGGCAGGAAACTTACACTGTTATATGAAAAAATTAGCATAGTGCTTTTCTGGTCACTTTAGTGCCATGTCTTGTTCTTGATGGTCCTGTAAATGCGGTAACTGCAAGGGTTGATTATCGATTTCAGAAATAAGCACCTACTTCCTTTGAAAGTTTTGCTGTCCAGATATTTGAGATAAAAGCTCTTTTGGCTTTAATAATTTACTAGCATAAGCATGTCATCTGAAGAAACGTGAGGTCTTTTTAAAGGGTAAAAAGAATGAAAGAATTTACTAAATGACTTTTTGATTCATCCCCTCAGGGTAGTTTCATTCTTTGTATTGAATAAATTGGGGATCTGTTGGAAAAATAGCCAGTGATGATATAATTCAGCTATAACACAATTCAAATATGCAAGGGGTATTTGTGCAAGCAGCCTTTATTTTTACATTCCTAACTTTGGAGTGTTTGACTGTGCAATGTCTGTGGTGTTCTTTTAAGAGATTTTGAGTGTAATTTCCTAAGTGTTGAGAAGGCAAAGTAAAACAATGAATTCCATCCTGTGGCACCCTGTTGACACTTGATTCATCACAAAGGTTAGAACCTTTAGTTTTACCATAGACAGTTTTGCCACCTGAGCTAATGGAACAACTTTTATAGAGGAGGATGACTTATTGCAGTGTGACCTGGCACTGGAGAGTAATGAGATACGAGACTATACTTTGCCAAGAAATTTCAGATAATTGCTGACAGCATAAGAATGGTGACACTAAGGAATCATGTGTTATGTTCTAGGTTCTGGAAGGGCTGGTACTTTAGTTATCATAGACTCTTGTTCTTTGGTCCTTTCTTCTCCCCAGTCCCATTCTTTTTTACCTAACCAGTCTGATTTCTCCACTTTGACTTCTCATTCTACTCTCTTTGTTCAGAAATGCCTAATATAATTTCTCCTTATAGTTTCATAGTTAGTAGGGTAGGAAGGGACCTGAGCAAATCATCAAGTCCGACCCCCTGCCACGGCAGGAAAGAGTACTGGGGTCAAACGACCCCAGCAAGGTGTTCGTCTAGCCTCCTCTTACCTTGCTACCCAGCACTTACTCTCCTGTCTCCAGTTATTATCAGTTTCCTGTATAGCAGTGCATCTGTTTTTTTTTAAATGGATTTATTTTTACCATCTTGGTTTTCAGTCACTCCCTCTTTCCCTCTCTGCTGGCTTCCAATCCTAATAATTCCATTACAC